GAGTTGGGTACAAGTAGGAAACCCTAAACTTACTGTACCCCATAGTAGCTACCCCACTACAGCCTAAACAAACTGTACTAGACATAATGAACTAAATAGGGCGATTATTGGGTCATGACTATAAATGGATCTTTGGTTGTGTGGTTAGGAAGGCAACTTTGACTTTTGAATTGGGGAGGTTAGAAGTCTCTAGCATGTGTTGCAAATGTTGCAACACCTAGGCAAAATCCAATTGGATTGGATTTTGTATGTGACACCTCAAGGACCTGATCATGAGGTTTGCATCTATGCTGCTAGGAAGGTTCCCACCATAATTCCAAAGCATTTGGAGAGCCAATCTCTCACAAGGTTGTCTTGAAACCCCCCAAGTCCTTATTCTATGCTTAAATGTTTGTTCTTCCTCCATCCTTTACAGTGAAAGCAGCAGCTATACGTTCTTACTTCGTTCTCACTCTCTAGACAACTTTTTGACGTGATTCATCTTCGTGGTAGTAGCTAAGACTAGGTGCTGGTGAGGCTGCTGCTCTAGGTGCTCGTGCGTATTCTGCTCTAAGTGCTGGTGAGGCTGCTGCTCCAAGTGCTGGTGAGTCTGCTCTCTCTGGTACTGTGCCTGCTGAGGCCTTGTACACCTTCACACTTGACTCAGGTGCTTCCTGCTCCTTCTTTCGCGACAGCACCACCCTCACGCCGCTCACCCGGCCGGTTGCAGTCTCCCTGGCAGACCTCTCTAGGGGTCCAGTCCTTGCGCACTCCTCCGCGTACCTGTCGTGTCCGGCGGTCCTGTCTGGTTCCCTGTCTAGTCTTCACCTCCCCTCGTTCTTTACGAACTTGGTGAGTGGTGCTGACCTCCAGGACCAGTGGGTTGACCAGTTCACTCCTGGAGGTCAGCGCGTGATCCACTATACGTGCTTTCTGACGGGCCGGCACCTGACCACGTTGACCCGTGAGCCTGGCTCGAGTTTGTACACACTGACTAGTGTGTCCCTTCAGGTCGCTGCGTCTGCGTCTGCGTCAGGTCAGCTAGCGCCCTCCTGCTCGTGTCGCGCTTTGTCGCACCAGACCCTTCTTTGGCACCACCGCCTTGGTCACCCCTCGGTGCAGTGCTTTTGTAGCATGCACCGTCGTGTCCTTGTCTCTGGTCTTCCCAGGGTTCTCCCTCCCCTCCCACCCTCGCCTGCTCCTCCCTGTCTTCCCTGTGTCGGGAGACCTCGCCCACACTGCTGTGGACGGGGAAGGTTGGCGATGCATCGTGTTTTCGAGTATGGGGTGCTCGTGCCTTTGTCCGCGATACCACCGTGGACAAGCTCTCCACCCGCACCGTTCCCTGTGTCTTCCTTGGTATTGTCCCTGACGCGCCTGGTTGGCATTTTTACCACCCCACCTCGCGCCGTGTCTTCCCCTCTCAGGACGTCACGTTCGACGAGTCGGTTCCCCTTTACCGTCTCTTCCCCTACCGCACTACCCCTCTCCCCCCCCCCGCCGCTCTTCCTCGCTCCAGGTGCTCCCCAGGTAGACCCCCTCCCCGCTCCCGGTCCTGCTCGTTCAGGTGTGTCTTAGGTAGACCGTCCTCCCTTGACTGCGCTGGTTGAGGTCACTGGTGACTGAGGTCCTGCTCGGTGTGCTCCTTCTAGGGGTGCTGAGCCTGGGGGTGCTGAGCCTGGGGGTGCGGAGCCTAAAGGTGCGGAGCCTGGGGGTGCGGAGCTTGGGGGTGCGGAGACTGGAGGTGCTGAGCCTGGGCGTGAGGAGTCTGGGAGTGCTGCACCTGGGGGCGCTGAGGCGTCTGGTGAGCAGTCTCCCTGGAGCGGCCGTCTCCGTAGTCGCTCCGCTGGTGCCTCGCCGCTGCATTCTTGTCGTCGACTCCCTCTCTCCCCACAGCAGCTGCGTGAGTGGTACGTTGGCCGTCAGGGTCGCGCTGCTGGAGCTAGGGGCCCTGCTGCGGGAGGCGCTGGAGTTGGTGACTCTGCTACGGGAGTTGTTTCTGCTGGAGGTTTTGGAGCTGCTGAGGGTGCTGGCCCTGATGCCACTGGAGCTAGAGGTTCTGGAACTGCTGAGGGTGCTGGCGCTGGAGGATCTGGTCCTGCTGCGGGTGCTGGCACTGAGGGTTCTGAGTATACTGTTGCGCGGTCTCCTTGGAGTAGCCGCCTTCGTCCGCGTGTGCCTCTCACCTCACAGCAGCTGCACGACTGGTACGGTCGCCGTCAGGGTCGCGCTTCTAGAGCTCGGGGCTGTGCCACTGGAGGTACTTCTGCTGACGTCAGCAGAAGCTGGGAGTGGTGCTGGTCCCGGAGGTGCTCGTACTGGAGGTACTGGAGCTGCTGGGGCTGGAGGTGTTGAGCCTGAGGGTGCTACTGCTGGAGACCCTGGGTCTGGGGGTGTTGCTGCTTGAGACACTGAGGCTGGAGACCCTAGGACTGGTGGTACCGGTTCTGCGGTTGCTGCTGCTGGTGGAGCTGGTCCTGGAGGAGCTGGCGCTGGGGGTTTTGGAGCTGCTGAAAGTGCTGGAGCTGCTGGTGGTGCTGGAGCTGCTGGTGCTGGTGGCACTGCACGGCCGCGCCTGTTCTTTGCTCCTCTGTCTCCGTCGTCTCAGCCACCATGTGACTCTGTGCTTCGCCAGGTTCTTAGTCTCCCTTCGTCTACTGGTCTTCCGTTACAGCCTGGCTCACCGCCGCCTGCTCCTTCTCCTCACACTGAGCAGACAGGGGGCCTTACTGAGCGTCGTGAGCCGGCATCGCGTCCTATCTCGCCTGTCCGTTCTGGTCGTCCCGGTCGTCATGTTCCTCGTTCGCGTCAGCCGACTATCCCTGACACCCACCTTGAGACTGTCGGACTTCCTCTCCTCCACAGCGTGTTCCCCTGCCGTCCCCTCCTGCGTCTTCTCTGCCTACTGTTCCTGAGCCTAAGTCTGACCGCACCCGTGCTGCTCACCCTACTGTCACGCGTCTGCTAGCCACAGTTGTCAATGACCCGTCGTTTGAGTCTCCTGCTGCGTCTGCCTTAGTCGCCGAGCTTGTTGAATTTGCTACTGCCTGTCGTCTAGACTACGCCACTAGTCTTCTTGCTGAGTCTAAGTCTGTCTGTCCTCCGTCCGTCGGGGGTGAGTGTGCTCTTGGCACGGACGTCCTTGATGACAGGCACGAGGACCTTGAGTGTCTTGCGGCCGCTGCGCCTCATCTCGTGTCCATGTTGCTTGCCCCTTAGGGAGACCCGGATGCTCCAGACATCCCGACCCCACGCTCTTACGTTGAGGTGATCGCGGGTGAGTACTCCTCTCAGTGGCTGACAGCCATGGATGCGGAGATGACATCCTGGAAGTCCACGCGCACTTACGTTGAAGAGGTTCCCCCTCCTGGGGCGAACATCGTCAGTGGCATGTGGATTTTCAGGTTGAAGCAGCCACCAGGTTCTCCGCCTATCTTCAAGGCTCGTTACGTTGCTAGAGGTTTCAGTTAGCGAGAGGGAGTTGACTTTCTCGAGACCTTCTCCCCCACCCACAAGATGACCACTCTACTGGTACTGCTGCACGTTGGCGCTCAGCGTGACTACGAGCTCCACTCTCTTGACTTCAGCACAGCTTTCTTACAGGGCAGTCTGCACGAGGAGATCTGGCTGCACCGCCCTCCTGGCTTCACTGGGTCGTTCCCTCCTGGTACCCAGTGGAGCCTCCGGCGGCGGGTCTACGGTCTCCGTCAGGCGCCACGTGAGTGGCACAACACACTGAGGACGACACTTGCTGCTCTTGGTTTTGCTCCGTCGACTACTGGCACGTCGCTGTTTCTGCGCACCGACACTTCGCTGCCGCCGTTCTACATCCTCGTGTACGTCAACAACTTGGTCTTTGCCACTGCTGACACTGAGGCTCTCACCCTGGTGAAGTCAGAGTTGCAGAAGAGACACACGTGCACAGACTTGGGTGAGATGCGCAGTTACCTTGGCTTGCAGATCACCTGGGACAGAGCACGCCGCACCATCACACTGACTTAGTCACACATGGTGCAGCAGGTCCTTCAACGCTTCGGCTTCACCTGGTCCTCGGCACAGGCCACTCCTCTGGCTACAGGTCACTCGCTCTCTGCTCCACCTTCGGACGAGTCTGTAGAGCCGAGTGGTCCTTACCCAGAGCTAGTGGGCTGCGTCATGTAGCTGATGACATGCACTCGTCCTGACCTTGCATACCCTCTTGGCCTTCTGGCTCGCTACGTGGCTCCTGGTCGGCACCGAAAGGTGCACATGGATGCTGCTAAGAGGGAATAGATCGCCAAGATACTGCGCTACTTGTGCAGTACATCGGGCATGAGGCTCATGCTTTGAGGGCAGAGCCCAGTTGTCCTCACTGGGCACTCGGACACTTCTTAGGTTGACGACCTGGCCACGCAGCGGTCGTCAAAGGGTTACACCTTCAGCCTTGGCTGTGGCTCGGTTTCTTGGCGATCTATTCTCTCGTCCTCTGTTTTGGCTCTAGTTGTGAGGTTGAGATATACGCCACAACCATGGTTGCATAGGAGCTACGCTTGCTCACCTACGTGCTGACGGACCTTGGAGAGCGGCCTCGTTCTCCTCCAGTGCTGTACGTAGACGACAATGCCGCCATTGCCTTGTGTCAAGAGCACAAACTAGAGCACATCGCTTTGCGTTACTTCCTCGCTCGAGACTTGTAGCAGCGTGGTCAGCTTCGTGTTGCTCACGTAGCCACTCGGGCCAACACTGCTGATATATTCACCAAGGCACTTCTGTCTGGTGATCATCAGCGTTTTTGTACTTTGTTAGGCCTTGTGTCCACATTTTGTTACTTGCTGTAAACTTTGCTTGTACTGTGATCTATATATATACCTGCTAGGTAGAGATCACTGTGTTGTTGTTGTTGCATATATACCTCTGCATGTGAACTGGCCTTGTGGCCCTTTGTTTGAACTCAGTGTGTGTGGTGACATTGTGATCCACCCTGAGCTTGCTTTGGTTCTCTTGACTGGTCTTGTGACCCCTTGTTCTCCCCCACTTTGCCTATGAGGGTGTGTTTAAGTATATGCATGCTATATATGTTTAGGCTGTAGTGGGGTAGCCAATATGGGGTACAACCCATTTAGGGTTTCATACTTGTACCCTACTCTTCCATAGTGCATTCATTCATGCTGCTATATTCTAACATACAGAAGTCACGTCCTCTGCCACATTTGCCTCATCGTCGCATGCGCACACCGTCACTCAAGCCAGCACGCCATCCGATCGGGGCGTTCACGAACAACAATCCGTTTGCCTCCCATTACGGCTTCAAAGACAACAACGAGGACCAGGGTTGGAATCTTCCAATCCTGCTGCTTCAGAAACCCCCCCGCACGTCACTGACTCACAGGCGGTACCCATCGACTGGATTTCGCTCGAACAATTATTGAGATTCGACACTCCGCGCATCGTCACACCGCTATTAGCGCTCCTCGTGCATGAGGACAACAGTCGCTACAACACGTGGTACCTCGTTGTCTGCTGTGGGCAGCACATCGTGGGCTCCAAGCGTTTCATATTAGCGCTGTCGCCACCCCCACAGTCACGTACATTAATGTGGCGAACAAAAATCGCATGCGTTCAAGCGCACAAGGCATTGTGGTCCTCAAGGTGTCATAACATTATAGCTTATGCATTGTGTAGGCTGTAGTGGGGTAGCCCATAAGGGGTACAACCCAATTAGGGTTAGTACTTGTACCCAACTCTTTCATAGTTCATCCATTCTCTCGTTCTCATCTTCACATGGTATAGAGCTGGTTCCCTTGTGGGAACTATTCCTAGGGCCCACCGACTTTTTTTTTCCTGCCCGGAGCACGCTTGGCCCCTGCCCGAGTCGCGCCCTGTGTCGTTCCTCCCCTAGCGGCCTCTAGCGGCCCCTTTTACGGCCCCTTAGACCTCGTCGCGCCGCCCTTTTGGCCCCGTCGCGCCGCCCTTTACGCGGCCCCGTCGCCGCCCCTTCCTGCAGCCCAGTCGCCGCCCTTTCAGCAGCCCAGTTGCCACCCTTTTAGTGGCCCCGTCGCCGCCCTTCCACGGCCCCGTCGCCGCCCTTCCACAGCCTCACCGCCCGCCCTTACAGCGGCTTTGTCGCCCGCCCTTCCGCGGCCCCGATATCACCCTTCCGCGGCCCCGTCGCCGCCCTTCAGCGGCCCCGTCGCCACCCTTTCAGCGGCCCCATCGCCGCCCGCCCTTTCAGCGGCCCCGCTGCCGCCCTTCCACGGCCTTGCCGCCGGCCCTTACAGCGGCCCCGTCGCCGCCCTTCTGCGACCCCATCGCCGCCCTTTCAGCGGCCCCGTCGCCGCCCGCCCTTTCAGCGGCCCGTCGCTGCCCTTTCAGGGGCCCTGTCGCCGCCCTTCCACGGCCCCGTCACCGCTCAGCCGCCTAGCGCCCGAGCCGCCAAGCAGCTACGCCACCGAGCAGCCAAACCGCCAAACAGCCGAGCCGCCCGACAGCCGAGCCGCCCAGCAGCCAAGCCGCCGAGCAGCCGAGCCGCCCGACCACCGAGCCGCCCTGCAGCCGAGCCGCCCGACCGCCGAGCCGCCCAGCAGCCGAGCCGCCCGACCCCCAAGCCGCCCCGCAGCCGAGCCGGCAAGCCGCCCGACCGCCCCACTTGCCTGGTAAGAGCAGCGTCTCTGCCACTGCACTGCCCTGCCCCACTGTACTCACTGCCTGTCTACTACTGTCATGGCCTCCCCTAGTGTTCTCACCTTTGACGCTGAGGGTCGGGCAGTTAACTTTGAGATCGGGGTAGATGATCCGCAGCTTTTCCTACAGTGCGATAGGGCAGACGATCTCTCCCTGTATGACCTCACTTCTGGTGCCTCTCCTGCCCCTACTCCTGATGCTGACACCACTGTTCGCTCACAGTGGGCCACGCGTGATGCTACTGCTCGCCTTGCTGTGCGCTGCCACTTACCGACCACTGAGCGTGCACACTTTAGCCAGTACAAGAGTGCTCAAACCTTGTATGACGCTGTAGTTGCACGCTACTCTTCCCCTGCCACTGCTGCACTGAGCCGCCTCATGCTACCGTACCTCTTCCCTGACCTTGGTGCCTTTCCCACAGTCGCTGACCTCATTACGCACCTCCGCACTAGTGACACTCGCTACCGCGCTGCGCTTCCTGCTGAGTTCTGCGCCAAGAACCCCCCCTTCATGTACATCACCCTCTACTACATAGTCGCCTGGCTCCCTGACTCTCTCCACGTAGTCACGGACCAGTTCCTCTTTGTTTGCCCCACCACTCTCACCGTTGGCCTCCTCGAGAAGGCCCTCCTAGCAGCAGAGAAGAGCATAGTCGCTGTAGGAGCCTCTCGTGGTGACCCTCGCACCCCCGTCTTTGAGGGGTGTTCTCCCTCCCCCCTCTTGCCCTCTGTTGCCTCTGCTGCTGCGGCCGACCTCGTTGGCTTCAAGTCGGTCGGTGCTGCGTCTGCCCCGAGCGGGAAACGCCGCACCGGCAAGGGCAAGGAAGGCAAGGGCGCTAGAGGGGCTGGAGGGGGTGGTGGAGGTGGTGGTGGAGGCAGTGGAGGGAGTGGGGGTGGTGGTGGGAGTGGTGCTGGGGGTGGCGGCGGCGGCGGCAACAATGGAGGCGGCGGAGGCGGTGGTGGTGGCGGAGGGAGCGGAGGCGTCGGAGGGAGCGGAGGCGGCGGAGGTGGCGGAGGAGGCGGAGGTGGAGGAGGCGGCGGAGGCGGCGATGGCAGCGGCGGTGGCGGAGCGGGTCGCGACTCTGCGTAGAGGAGTGGCTCAGGTGGTGGTCCGCGCCAGCACCAGCGGAGCGGTGTGACCCTGTCCCCTCAGCATCTTCGTGAGTGGTACACTGCGCGTCAGCGCGGTGGGGGTTTTGGTCCCTGCACTTACGTCCTCTGTACCGGCGACCGAGCTGGTGAGCAGTGCAGAGGCCCACACTCCACCCAGCGCTGCTTCTGTCGCCTGACGGACGCGTGGCGTCACCAGTTCCTTGAGGCGATAGAGATCCATCGCTAAGGAGATCTGTCTAGGGCGGGGGTTGCCATCTTTGATCTTGACTATGATGCTATTCTTGCTGCCATGTATGGTGTTGATGATAGTGTTGAGGGTGTTTGTTACCTGTGTGTACCGCCTGACCCGGGCATTGAGGCTACTTCTCTAGGTACTGGTGAGGCTGCTGCTCTAGGTGCTAGTTCGTCAGCTGCCTCAGGTACTAGTGCGTCTGCTGCCCCAGGTGATGGTGAGTCTGCGCTCTCAGGTACTACGTCGGCTCAGGCCTTACACACCTTCACCCTTGACTCGGGTGCGTCCCGCTCCTTCTTTCGAGACCACACCAATCTTACGCCGCTCAGTCGGCCGGTTGTAGTCTCCCTGGTAAACCCCTCTGGGGGTCCTATCCTTGCTAGCTTCTCCACTGTCTTACTGTGCCTGGCAGCCCCCTTTGGCACCCTGTGAGGTCTCTACCTCCCCTCGTTCTCTACGAACTTGGTGAGTGGAGCGGACCTACAGGATAGGGGGGTTGACCAGTTAACTCCTTCGAGTCAGCGAGTGACCCACTACACGTGTGCTCGGACAGGCCGACACCTGGCCACGTTCACCCGTCGGCCACGGTCGAGCCTGTACACCCTTACTACTGAGTCTCCTCCGGCTGCTGAGTCTGCCCAGGTAGCTGCGTCGAGTCAGGTCTTTGCTGCACCGTCCAGGTCCGGTCCTGAGTCTACTCTCCTTTGGCACACCCACCTTGGTCACCCCTCCTTGCCTCGTCTCCGAGGCATGGCCTCCCGTGTCGATGTCTTTGGTCTCCCTCGGTCTCTCCCTTCCCTACCTCCTGGGCCTGGCTCTACCCGCCTCCCCTGCGTCGAGGGGCGACAGCACGCCGCCCCTCACTCCTCCGAGTTTCCTCCGACAGAGGCTCTGCTGCAGACTCTCCACATGGACGTGTGGGGCCCAGCCCGTGTCAGTGAGCAGAGGCGCGAGCGGTACTTCCTGTTGGTGGTTGACGACTACTCTCGTTACACCACTGTCTTTCCCTTGCGCAGCAAGGGTGACGTTAGTGAGGTGTTGACGCTAGTCTCATTGCTGAGTCTGAGTCTGTCTGTCCTCCGTCCGTCGGGGGTGAGTGTGCTCTTAGCCCGGACATCCTTCAGGACAGGCAGGAGGAGTTCCAGTACTTTGCTGCTGCTTTGCCCCATCTCGTGTCCACGCTGATCGCCCCTGAGGGAGACCTGGATGCACCAGACATCCCGACTCCTCGATCGTAGGCTAAGGCGATCGAGGGTCCCTGCTCCTCTCAGTGGCAGTCGGCCATGGACGCAGAGATGGCTTCCTGGAAGTCCACAGCCACCTACGTCGACGAGGTTCCCCCACCTGAGACGAACATCGTCAGTGGCATGTGGATTTTCAGGGTGAAGCGGCCTCTGGGTATTCCGCCTGTCTTCAAGGCGCGTTACGTGGCTCGAGGCTTCAAGCAGCGGCAGGGAGTTGACTACCTTGAGACCTTCTTTCCCACCCCGAAGATGACCACTCTTTGGGTGCTGCTGCACATAGCCGCTTAGCGCGACTACGAGCTTCACTCTCTTAACTTCACCAAAGCTTTCTTGCAGGGCAGCCTGCACGAAGAGATCTGGCTGCGCCGCTCACCTGGCTTCACTGGGTCGTTTCCCCCTGGTAACCAGTGGAGCCTCCGGCGGCCATTCTATGGTCTCTGCCAGGCGCCCCGTGAGTGGCACAACACACTGAGGACTACACTTGCGGCTCTTGGGTTTGCTCCTTCTACAGCCGACCCGTCGCTGTTTCTGCGCACCGACACCTCTTTGCCGCCATTCTACATCCTCGTGTACGTCAACGATTTGGTCTTGCCACTGCTGACACTGCTGGACTCGCCCATGTGAAGTCCGAGCTGCAGAAGAGACACACGTGCACAGACCTGGGTGAACTGCGCAGCTACCTTGGCTTGCAGATCACCCGGGACAGAGCACAGCGCACCATTACCCTGACTCAGTCACACATGGTGCAGCAGGTCCTTCAGCGTTTCGACTTCACGTACTCCTCGCCTCAGGCCACTCCTCTGTCTACTCGCCACTTGCTCTCAGCTCTGCCTTTGGATGAGTTCGTAGAGCCGAGTGGCCCGTACCCAGAGCTTGTTGGCTGCCTCATGTACCTGATGACCTGCACACGACCTGACCTTGTATACCCTCTTAGCATCTTCGCACGCTATGTTGCTCCTGGGAGACACTGACCAGAGCACATGGCTGCAGCGAAGAGGGTGTTGCGCTACATGTGCAGTACGTCGGGCATGGGGCTAGTGCTTGGAGGGCGACGTCGAGTGGTCCTCACTGGTCACGCTGACGCTTCTTGGGCTGACGATCAGGCTTTGCAGCGGTCGTCACAGGGTTACACCTTCAACCTTGGCTCCGGCTCTGTTCCGTGGCGGTCTACCCGCTCGTCTTCTGTTCTGAGGTCCAGTTGTGAGGCTGAGATCTACGCAGGGGCCATGGCTGCACAGGAGCTAGGCTGGCTCACCTACCTGTTGAGTTACCTAGGAGAACCGCCTTGTTCTCCTCCAGTTCTGTACGTAGACAACAAGGCCATGCTGGCCTTGTGTCGGGAGCACAGACTGGAGCACAGAACGAAGCACATTGCTCTCCGCTACTTCCTGGCTCATGAAATGCAGCAGCGTGGTCAGCTCCGCCTCACCTACATGGCCTTTGAGGCCAACACTGCTGATATATTCACCAAGGCCCTTCCGCCTTGTGATCATCACCGCTTCTATGTTATGCTAGGAGTGGCGACATGGACGAGTTAGTCGACAGCACATCCATAGCTCCGAATAGAAGCATCCCGACGGGAGACCCTGGTTGTTGCACCGCCCATATCTGTGCGAAGTCGCGCTACACAACCCTGACCCAGATGGCATGCACAGATTGCCACACGCCAACATCATCAACCAACGCCATCGCAGGATGAGGACTCGTCGCAGTCACGGAAACTAAGTGTTTCGCGCCACGTGAAGAAGGAATGTTTTCCCCGGAGCTTGAAGTCATAATGCAAACCGTCTTTGCCCCCTAAAAGATCCTCTCATTAGCACACCAGCAGAGTGGTTCTAAAAAGTTTTACATGAACGACATTGCGGAACCTCCGATACGCGCGGAGTGGCGCGACCATACACAAAAGAGGAATTCTTAAAGGTTTACCCCCACTGGCGCGACCCCAGGAAGAAACGTACCATCGCACAAGAAGAAGAGTTGGCGGCTGGGGATCGAGCAACACTGGCGTTTGGGGGAACTCGGGAGGTAGCTGGGCCCAAAGATGCAGCAGCAGAACCTACCCCTGTACTTGAAAAGATACTGAAGTCGTACGTGCGCGCTTCATGGGCACCTCTGGACTTCGTGTGAACGACGATCTTTGGCATCAGCGCCTCGGTCACCCCTCGCGTGTGACGTTGAACAACTTTTTGAGGCAGGGGTCTTCACACCTGGCCCACTCTTACCCCTCGACGGCACTGAAGTCAAGATGACATCAAATCCGCGCAGCTGCACCGTCTGCCCTAGAGTCACGCTGAATCATCAGCCATTCCCACTGCTAGAACTTGGAACCAAACCTACCCCAAGTTGCATAAGATGTACAGCGATTTTCTCGTCATCGGCCACTACTACGCACAGTGAATCAACGATGAGGGCTACAAAGGAATGCGAAACGACCTAGACTAGCCATGTACTCTAAGGGGTACATTTCCTTATTGCAGCGAATTCAAGCCGTGCAGCGCGGTAACTCGTTTCAAACCAGTTTCAAATGTTTCTGCCTGCATCGGTATTGGTTAGACGGTTGCTGCGTCGCTTCAATTCTTCTGACTCCTCGACTTCGTACTCGGTAGAGTTGGCTCCTGCAGCATACAGGAATGCCTTCTCATTAAACTTGATATCGTTACACTCCTCTTCATTCCTAGGCGCGTAGGGGGCTGACTCGCTTGACTACTTCGGTGAGGTCGGAGCACTGCTTGTAATGCTGACGTGGCAGTCGCTTGGTGAGGAAATAAGCTGCCATCTCGGTGGTGGGGCAGTACGTGAGGTCAACCTTGTCAGAACATATATGTAGCTTATGCTGTTGTGTAGGCTACAGTGGGGTATACCATAGGGGGTACAACCCAATTAGGGTTTTGCCATTTGTACTCACTTCACTCATAGTTCATTCATTCTCGCTCTATTCTCCTCATGGTATCGAGCAGGTTCCCCCGTGGGAACTGTGCTTAGGGCCCACCACTTTTAAACTTTTTTTCTGCCCGGAGCGCGCTCCGGGCCCTCGCTCTCACTCTTTCGGCCTGCCCTGCAGGCCCCTAACCGCCCGCGCGCCGCCTGTCCCGGCCCCTAGCCGCCCGCGCGCCGCCCGTTCAGGCCCCTAGCCGCCCGCGCGCCGCCCGTCCCGGCCCTTAGCCGCCCGCGCGCCACCCGTCCCGGCCCCTAGCCGCTCGCGCGCCGCCCGTTCAGGCCCCTAGCCGCCCCACGCCGCCCGTCCCGGCCCCTAGCCGCTCGCGCGCCGCTCGTTCAGGCCCCTAGCCGCCCGCGCGCCGCCCGTCCCGGCCCCTAGCCGCTCGCGCGCCGCCCGTTCAGGCCCCTAGCCGCCCACGCGCCGCACGTCCCGGCCCCTAGCCGCTCGCGCGCCGCCCGTTCAGGCCCCTAGCCGCCCGCGCGCCGCCCGTCCCGGCCCCTAGCCGGTCGCGCGCTGCCCGTTCAGGCCCCTAGCCGCCCGCGCGCCGCCCGTCCCGGCCCCTA